AAACACTTTCCCTATGAGCAGTAGTCCTACTGGGAGTTATAGAGATGGGGAAGACACAAGTGTTAACCAAGAGGGCAGTATGCATATTGATTTATCATTGAACAATGGCCATGAGTTTGAAAGTTTTCCTCTCAATTTTCGCCAAACATATAATACCGAGGATACATCACAACAACTTAGTGCTGGAGATGTCATTGTTCTTAGTGATTCTGATGAAGAGAACGATACAATTGTTTGCCCACCAACTGTCTACGACAATACTACTGCGAATGACAGTGGTTTTCCTTTTGCCACTAGTGGTGCTGGATTTACTGGAAGATACCAGGAAGATGCTGGCGTTGGTACTAGTGGCCTTGGTTTATTAAGCAACAATGCTGATGATTTTGAGATGACTAATTGGCAAATGCCCTATTCCCAACCGGAGCAAGGCTACCAGTTTTTCGGGGATGGCACCGCCGATACTTATGTTGGTTCGCACAATTCCTTTAGCATTACACCAAACGACTATTCCCTTGATTGTAATGTTGGCATTGAGGAGGCTTCTGTAGCTCATGATCTTCCAGTTTACCGCAGTAATAATGAAATGCATGGAAGTTTGGTTGATAACCCATTGGCTTTCGGTGGTGATGATCCTTCTTTGCAACTTTTTCTTCCAAGTCAGCCTTCTTCTGCTCCCCTTCAGGAAGAACCAAGTGAGCGTGTAAATGCATCAAATGGGGTTCAGTCTGATGATTGGATCTCTCTTACGCTCGCAGCTGGTGGAGGTGGTAATGAAGAGCCTGCAACTGCTAATGGTTTAAATTTGCAAGAACAAATACGGTCAAATGAGACAGGAGTGGAACCATTAATTGACGCCGGTTTGTCTCCCTTTTATGCATCCAGTTTTCCTTTCTTGTATCCTCCATTTCAGCAGTTGAAGAGCATATAGCTTTTTTAGTTGAACTGCAAATAAGCTGACCTTTCAAGTAAACCATACCTTAGAAACAGCTGTCCTTTTGTCCCACTTTCTTATTTGTCCTTAAGATTTGCCAAAAGTTCTTCCCAAAGTGAAAATAAAGTAATCCTACTTTCTTAAGAAAGGGTTTATGTTTCTACTAGTCTAGTTATGGTTAACTGTAAGTTGAAAGTTGCCATCCTTCCCCCAAATTTCTCC